GCCTTCTCTCCTTCTTCTTCTCTTTCTCGTCTCTTCTTCTCCTGACCCTAAAATTTAACTACTTATTTACATAGCATAGCAGCATAGTTTTTCTTTGCTAGTAAGATAAACAAGGGTTTATTTTGGAAACCACAAGTTTAACTGAGCTGGGTTGTTGATACTGGGAAAGCCAATGAAAATGTAAGACACAATGCTTTAAAATCTGATCTGTAAAGCATTTAAAAGGCTTGATTTGTAGTGTTAGCTTTGACCTCAAAGGTTTAACTCTCTTTGAGATAAGAGATTTGAATTTGGTTGTCAACGTACAATTGTTTATGGGAGCACTAGGAATGGGATTTTACTGCCTGAGCATAGATGTTTGTGCCCTTTGTGGTGCCCAAGGTTACCTAAGGCACCTGCACATTACAAATGATATACTGGAGGGGACCTTTAGAGTGATTCAGCTCAGTCTAAAGCAAAGATCAGGTGTCCATAGGTAAGTGTCTATAGGTACAACATATATCTTACGTCTTGCTGCAGTCAATGGAACCTTCAGTGATCAATTCTGTTGTAGGCACATAGTTGCCCTGCACATTTGAGGTGCCCAAGAGATGCCTGAGCTCTTTGCATGGGCTTGGAAGGTATGGATACCCATATCCTTCCGATCAGGCAGATGGAAAACAGGTTGTATATCCGAGGGCATCTAATATAAGCAGAAGCCTGCTGATTTTGGCGAAGTGTGGGAAGTGAGGAGGAAGATGTTGGTGTTAGACAGACGTGCTGAAATCCTGTCTCTAGCCAGCTCTAGTCACTGCCTCTATATTGTATAAACAGTTGACAGAACATATTGACAGTTTCCAGTGTAAAAATTGTCTCAGTGTTACTGTTTCCCAACAGTTTAAAGTGTTGTCACCCTAAATGATGGATCTCAGAGAGAAGGAAGAAAAAAAGAGGATGCTGTGAAGGAAGGGGGAAACAGAATGAATAAGGGAATGAGAATTTGTGGGCACAGTCTCTGATATATGTGGGAATGGAAAGTACTCCGCATAGAATGAACTCTGGATGGTGGAGAACAGAGACAGGATTGTGAAGGTGGCTCTTTGAGCCCAGAGGTTCTGGGGAACAGGATGATATGTAGGTCACAACAAGATAGATGATATGTAAGGATCCTGAGGAAAATACATACAGGACATGGTGGGGGCAGAGGCTGGAGGGGTGGACTCTGCACTGGCTACACTCCTAATAATGAGCACCAGGGCCTGGTCACTGGCCCCAAAGCCAGCTGGCATCTCTTGGACACAACTTTGTTGTTAAACGCTCTCAGACTCCTAAAAAAAAAATACAACTGAGATTCCTACTGAGATTACTTCTGGCCAGGGCTAGTGACTGTGTCCAGGCAGCACTGGAGCAATGCTGACTGGTGACAACACCAAGAGGAACTATTTCAGTGACAACCATGTCCCATGGCTGAGATCTCTGTCCTGGCATATTTGATTTCATAAATGATGTTTGTATTATCTGTTCCCAACAGTTTTTCCCAATGACCACTTTGGATATAGCTCTGTTTGGATGCCAAGCGAGTCTTACCTACAGAGGTATGAGCCACTTTGTGCTGATTGCCCTGGAGGCTGCAGAACAATCCTCAGAACACATACAACCTTCCTACTCACTTCCTACCCAGCTTCAACCGCAGCTTAATTCCTGGCTGAAGCACTGGTCAGTTTTTAGGTCTTTGCAGAGCCCAGAAGGGCCCTGAAGAGAGTGAAAGCCAGAACTGCAAGGTCTAAAAATGGGAACAAGAAGCACTGATAGGACCTACTTGTAACCTTCAAAGACAAGATACCAAACTATCCCCTAGAATGTCAGAATTTCATATAGAGAAGCCCAAAAGTAAACTATCCCAGACACGCCTTCATTGTTTTCCATAAAATTGACCTATTCAGAGTTTAGTGGGGAAATTTTATTTCAAAGAAGACTCTGATGATTTAAAATGTATTCTTTTTTTTGATTAAGAACAAAACAAAGCCTGATTAAATGGGATGATCTCAGGTCTTTGGACTGAAAAAGATCTGTGGCTTTTAGGAGAGTCTGGTTTCCAGGATCTGAGTCAATCTATCAGTAAGTTTACCCGTAATGTTTGGTCTGTGACAGTTCTGGAGAAATGGCTAGGCAGGAAGCCAAGCAAGCTTTCATCAAAACATTTCCAGATTTATGGAGCAACATTGTCTGAGCTAAACAGTCCCTCCAAATTGCTTGATTGTGATCAAATGACAAATGAAGTCAGAATATCTGAGTATTTCTGAGCAGTTCTGCTCCTGATTAGTACATCCACTCATGTGTCCTTCTCAGGTGCATCATTTCATTCCTTTCATTTGCTGGACAGAAACAGCAGTGCTGCATTCCCTCCACTTTGTTTTACTTCTCCCTGGGTTCCAAAATCCTTTTTCCTCTGATAATTTTCTGGATTTTTTTAAGTTCTTTATCTGTCCTCAAATCTACTCTCACCTGAATTTTGCAGTTGTCTGTGAAGAACTCACTTCCTTTAAGAATGTTCAAGGCTATACAAATTTTTAGCATACAGAAACCATCTGTGTGGTTCCAGACAAAGAACAGGATTCTTGGTCCTCTGCTGGATCATTTATTTGCTATCCTTCAAAGCATGAATGAGGACATCAGGAAGTCTTCTATAAGCAAAGTTGTTACTCATACGATACCTCATCAATTAAAAAAAGATCCAAAATATCTCACCAGTTAATAGAGTAATTTATATTCTTTTTTCAGTTATGGTCAGTGGCACCAATTGCAGATAAAGGCAGCACTGGCCAGATATGACATTAACACAGGAGGAGGCGACTGTGAAGCTTCAGGCCAGGGAAGTACATAACCTGATGAAGACTGGAGGGAATGTGTGGGCATAAAGACCCAGAGAGCTCAGGAAAATATTTGGACACTTTCCTTGTGCAATGAACCCAGCTGGGTCAGATAAGGGATTTACAGCCTCTCAGCTGATTGAACTTTATCTTGCTTTTTCCTGAAGAAGACAGATTCCCTATAAAAGCAACAACCCTGAAAGTGACTGGTACAATTGTAAGGGCATATAACTTCTAAAAGCAAAGACAAATTTTGTCTTCTTGCCTCAAGTGATCAGGGTACATACAATAGGTCCATAGATTGTGTGTGGTCTGACTTTTTCTTAAGGTAGCTTTTTCAGACCTGAAGAAAGGTTTAAGCGTCTGAAAGTTTCTCCATTTTACTTCTGTTAATTGAATATAAAACACAGTCTTCCCCTACCATTCTCATCTCTCTTGTTAAAACTGATAAATAACGACTGGAATAATGGTTTAAGAAAAAAAAAAACAAAACCCAATGCATTTTGTCTTTTGTCTAGTTCAGAGCTAATGTGCATCCACATAATGTGCCATAGTTCCCTCTGGAGTTGTACTTTAGTTCTTAGTACCCTTGTTCTCTTACATGATGAATTTTCTGTTAGATTGCAAACCTACAGTAAAACTAGTTTTTCCAGTCTCAGCCGAAGCTCTGCTTACTGGTTAGCACATAAGAACTGTGGTTTTGAGGGACACAATCCAAACAAAGAGCACTGCCAAAAGGCAAAAAGAGATGGCACCCTGACTACTGCTCCTAAAAACCGTGTAATGGGTGAAGGGATTACTAGACTAATGGAGTGGTCCTTGAACTTAGCTCAATAAGCTGAAGAGAAATACTTGAATTTCTGAAGATCCACATGTTTTGAACAAAAACCAGGAACAGTGATTCAGTATCTCATATTTTCCAGAACCTTCAAGCTGATAGAAATGTCAGTATTCTGAATCAGAATATCAAAGGGAGGGGAGGGGGAAGATTTGGACACAATCAAACTTCCAAATATCTTAACCCGTCTATACTTATGAAGCTCTCTTTTCTCTCCTGAAATGTTCCCTTATGTAGATCAATAATAGTTACCCTTTGGCATTTTTTTTCCACAAATGATTGCTTTATTTCTGTAGAGAAACTGAAGTGTTGCAAGCATTTCATGTTTCTGTGAAAGCTTATTGCTATAGTAAGCATCCTGCAGTTGTACAAACTGTAGCCCAAGCAGTAAATTCTCATTCCATTTTTTTACAATTAAGTTGACCTGTATCCTCAAAATGAACCCGTACACTCCCATTTTGCTACACGGGCTTCAGAGGGCATTCAAGCAGCCTCGGGAATTTCTAATTTCACTAGTTGCCTTCTTATTTATAACACATTCTTATTCACTTCTTTTTTTAATGCATAAGAACCTTGAAGAATAGCTAAGTAGATCAGATCACTAATTCCTGTGAGCTACAAAAATGAATTATTTTCTCCTGTATTTTTTAATTGAGCTCCTTGTTGGCCTACATAAAATCAAGCCTGATTTTTTTATAGTCAAGAAGGTCAGGGATAACTATAGCCAATAAACAAAGAAGCAAACAATAATGCAACAATAACAGTTACAAAGATTAATGTTAGTGCCTGAATGCTCAGTGCTCCTGGCAAAATTAATTTTCCTGAAAACATTAATTATTCCTTTTCCTTGGTCCAGTGCAAGTTGAGTAAATGCTATGCTGATCAACCTTGAAGGTTACAGAGGTTGATGCAGCTCTCTGATAAACTTCTGTGTGTCTGAAACTTTGAGAAGGTCACATGCCTTGAAGTCTTCCTCAATAGAGGCTGTTGCTGTTGTGATTCCTGAGATCATAGGATTGTTAATGCCGTAAAAGACCTCTAAGATTGTTTTCACAACCCTTTTTATGCTGATGGTCTCCACTGCTCCCCATGGATTCATTCTTCCCCAAAAGGTGGATTGTTCCCATCTGAAGCTGGTTGAGTACCAGAGAGCTACCTATACCTGAGATTTGGATTAGATGTTAGGGAGAAATTCTCTACTGTGAGCAACCTGGATAGTGGAAGGTGTCCTTGTCCATGGTAGGGGGGTTGGAATGAGATGATCTTTAAGATCCCTTCCAACCCAAACCACTCTCCTTGAATCCTCTCTACAGGCACAAAGAAGTTCTGTTTTCGGAATGCTGCCCATCTGACCTGCTTACGGAGGAGCTGCATCACCAAGGGCATTGCCCAGATCTCTGACTGCAAAGAGCGGCTGCGGTGACTGCCTCAGGCACAGATAAATCTGCACTGAGACACATGAATTTTGACACCGTGCAGGACTGGAAGGGTGGGCATCAGAGTTCTCACAGGCTGCACAGAGCCAGGCCATGCCGTCAGCAGAGTAATTCTGCAAAGAGAGCAGAGTGGTCCAGTCTCTGATACACAGAATTGATCTGGCCAGTCCACATAGTGCTGCATTATATGTGAACTTAGTGGTTCAGAGACCACTTTGAACACCTCTTTGCTCTGCTGCAAGTTGCCTGGTGTCTATTTTGGCCCAATACAGATGCACTTGGAACACTGTCACTATGTGCAAGCACTCTCCTATTTTGACAGTGCTATTGGCTTCTGTGATTTTATGACAAACTTCCTGATATTTACTGGTTTCCTTTTGTTTCCCTGAAGGTCCCATTCTTTAATGTCCTGCTGCGTAAATGACTAAACTTTCATTTTGAGATGAAATGTAGTCTTCTCACATGGGGAAATATTTGAAAATTCAGTTTCACGGAGCATCAATCAAGTTAAAACAAACAAGCAAACAAACCAACCAACCACACAAAAACAACCCCACTGACATTATTTCAAATAATAAATAATAGTGATTCTTATTTCTTAGAGGGAGCTAGATCATGATATTGTTTCTCCCTCAGCAGCCTTGGTTTTTACTAGTGATATGCTGCTCTTTTGATCTTTATTTTTTTCTCTAGGAGTTACAGGAAAAAGAACAAGAAATTACTTTTCCTTCAGTGACTGACCACAAATCCTGATGTAGCATTCCTTTCCAAGGTTAAATTCATCAATTCTTCTCTCTGATTTTCCTTGCACAGAGCCCAGGGCATAGAGTTTCCCAGAGATGGACCTGGCTGGGCTCACTTTCTGCACTCAGTGATTTTCCCTATTTATCCCTCCTGCCCTGCTATGTTCTGACAGCCCCAAGAGATGTTTCTGGCAGTTGCAGGAGGTTTGGTGCTCTGCAGTGTCCAGGGACAGGATGAAAACAAAAACGACCATCTGCTTTCTGCAGCTTTGGTGACCTGAGCAATGATAAGCATACATCCCTCCTGGTTCATGGCAAAAGGAAAGCGTGGGAGGGTGGAGATGCTATTTCTGCCAGTGTTAGGTACAGAATGTGTGATCACCTACCAGGACATATGGCGATTACTTCCTGCGGCTCATAATATCTCACAAGGATCTTTTCTCATCTAGAACCACTGATCTTTTGAACCTTTCCATCAAGGGAAATGAAGGAGAAGACCACTTAGCAGCTGCTCTATTCAATCTCTATTCAAATGCTGATTGTAACTAAGTTTGCCTTGTCAAATTGCTTTTGAACATGGAAGAAGCTGCTGCTGCCAATATTTTTCTGGCAGCATCTGAACCTCACCCTACCTGTGCTGGGGATTTCAGACTTCTATAGTCTGAACAAAGAGAACGGCAGTTGGCAAAAGAACTTCTAAGCTTCTCCTTTCTTTCTTTCTTTCTTTCTTTCTTTCTTTCTTTCTTTCTTTCTTTCTTTCTTTCTTTCTTTCTTTCTTTCTTTCTTTCTTTCTTT